ACTCTCCGTATACGGCGGAATGAAACGCTACAACTTGGTAGCGATTGCTAGGGACGAGAACCTAAGTTCTTCGAGTGATGGGATACTTTCTTCTTCTTCTCTGAAACGGCTTCTGTTACATGTACTTTTGCATTATATTCTCCGCACCGAACGATCCTGCAACTCGGCAAGATTATGTGCCAACGGCGGACCATTTCGCCACTTCATTGTGTGACTTTCATTCCATCATCTCGAGGATATAAAACACCATGTATACACACACTTTTTCCAGTTCTCACTCCCTCTATCGCCTATCACTTTCCTCATGAAATCTACTGGCAGTCGTAGCAACGGTCATGGCGATTGGGAGGGTAGCACTGTTCACGACCACAGCTCCGATTCTCATACTGCAAGAGACTCTTGTCCCAGCTTCTCCTGTCATCGACGAAAAGGTAGTGGCCAAATATCCGGGTTCTGGAACTCCCGAAGATCCCTATATTGTCGGTTGGGATGAAGACGACCGCGAGAATCCCTACAACTGGTCAAAGACGCGCAAGTGGATCATCACCACGCAGGTATACAACTCGTTCGAAATCCTAGTTTTCCATGAGGCTCACACGTTGCTTCAACATTACTAGTTGGCGTTGACCACATTCACAGTATCATTCGCCAGTAGCTCATACAGCGGCGGCTTGGAATATATTACTCGCGACTTCCAAGTCTCAGATGATCTAGCCGTGTTAGGTATCTCGCTATACGTCTTGGGATTTGCTGTTGGGTAGGTGATGCATAGACCTTTTGTATGATCGGACGTTAACCAATACGCAGGCCTCTTTTATGGGCACCTATGGGAGAGGTAAGAAACTTGCCGCTGCTGTCAACACCAGTGGTGTCAACTGATGCTGACCTCTTTTTTTGAACCCACGCCAGATGTATGGAAGAGTAAGTACGACTTTGCCTTAATGTCAAAGCTGTATTGACGCCTCTTCATAGCGTATAGTGTTTTTAATCACCGTCGGATTATATACACCTTTTCATATCGGAGGAGCTCTTGCTAAAAACATAACCACCGTCCTCGTCATACGGTTACTTACCGGTATCTTTGGTGCATCCCGTAAGTCGGGAGAGTCTAAAGCGTCTTCATCTGCTAATTGCGCTCAATCTATCTGAACAGCCTTGACCAACGCGGGTGGAGTTGTATCGGATATATTTAATGCTCGTGAGAGGGGTCTGGCGTCTGCGATCTATGCAGCTGTACCTTTCCTCGGTCCAGGTTAGTCAAAAAATTCTCAGCCGCCCACATATCATGATTCTAACTGAAGCCTGAAGTGGTTGGACCCATAGTCGGTATGTCTGCCAATCTATTGAATGTCATATAGCCAGCTCAGTGCAGTAAACCAGGTGGGTTCGTAGCTGACTCGAATCTGGGATGGCACTTCAATTTCTGGCTCATGTTCATCATGAGCTTGCTGAGCCTGGTGACGGGATATTTTTGGCACCAGAGACGGTGAGCGCGATTACTGATTGCGGATGGTCGTCTTCTTACATTCAATCATCTCCGCGGCAGTATGCCCCAGTTCTTCTCCGACGACGCGCCAAAAACCTGGCTCTTCTTTCCAGTGGGGCAATTTCCTACATGTCGAAATACGACATCAACCGTTCGACTTCCTTCACAAAAATCATGCGAGTCAACCTAAGTAGACCTTTTACTTTTCTGGTCACCGAACCAATCGTCTTGCTACTGGCGATCTATATCTCTGTTGTCTACGGGACTCTTTACGCTTTGTTCTCTGCGTTTCCTATCGTCTTTCAAACTCATCGAGGATGGACTGCCGGCGAGGGAGGTCTGGCATTCCTCGGGGTTGGTGCAGGTATATCCGCTTCCTGTCGTCTAGCAATATTCTGTGTTGTTTACGGGATTTTCTTCTCCAGGTATATCCCTAGGAACTGCAACTGCGTCTATCCAGAACCGGATCTATTGGAAGGCGATGGATAAGAGTGCTGATGGACGGGCACCACCTGAAGCGTAAGTTTTCAGTTCACATTCAAGTTTGCCGTATCAACTCATCACCATGCTTTCAGTCGCCTGCATACGGCAATGCTGGGAGGTAATTTATTGATACTTTGGATGAATAAAAAATGGTTCTGACATGGAAGTTTTCATTCGAAGGTATTCTTGTTCCAATAGGCCTCTTCTGGTTCGCATGGTATGTTTTTGACCTGTTTTGTTTGATTCCTCATGCCTCAACGATGTTTTAGGACCGCCGACCCTCCTGTCCACTGGATCGTTCCTATCATAGGTATGTCCGTTGACCTAAGATAACTTGGTTTCATCTCAATCTGTCTCTTCAGCTGGCTTTCCTTTCGGACAGGGTGTTTGTCAAATACTTCAAAGTTCTACGGCCTATCTGATGGACGCATATGACCTGTATTTCGCGAGCGCCGTCGCTGCTACCATCGTCCTGCGTTCCATATTCGCAGCGATTTTCCCAATTATCGCACCTACGATGTTTGGAAGGTTAGGGGATGCGTGGGGTACGAGTGTCTTCGCCTTCTTAGGATTAATCTGTGCTCCTATACCTTTCCTGTTCTGGGTAAGTCACTTCAGTCTTAACTTCGGTATCATAATTGATTGTTGTGTCTTTCTCACCTCAGAAATACGGGAAATTAATTCGCAGCAGATCCAAATACGCGTACAAAGAATCCGACTCCTCATGATCCTTAATTCGGTGCTTCAAAATCTAATGTAGTCTTAGGCCTAGCCAGCATATTACGTTCAACTAGATACATTTTATATCCAACACTTCTCAGCTCGCAAGCAAAATAAGTAGTGCTTTTAATTATGTTTTAAAGTAACGAACAGTATGATGTTCCACATATTTGACATATTTAGGATAATATTGTATAGATAATAGATTCACATAAAAGATAGTTGTAGTTATCACCCCCGTTTCATGATATTCTTCATGATATATTTTTTGCAATAAATACGGTTGTACTTATTGCCCCCGCTGCAAATTTTCACGTAAATTGACTCCTCCGATGAGACGTTCTTCGTTGGCCTGTCTACGACTAAGCCGCACAAACGCCATTTCGGTATGCGGTCTTTGAGACTACCTTCTTCTCTTCCAGCCTCGACTGCCACGGTTCGGCGATGGATCCACGTTCCCGGTTACACTGTGGTCGGTATGCTGTTGCGATTGATGCTGCCAAGAGCTACCAGCAACGTTTTGAGAACGGTGGTCGCCTCGAGTTCGTTCGTGGCCATGGCTACCTGACGGCTTCCCGTGGTTTGTGTTCCAAGTGTTGTATGCAGTAGGATAGTCGCCGTATGAAGGTGTGGGTTCTTGAGTGCCCGAACTTTGGGCATCCTGAGGCGTCGTCTGTGTCGGATCTAAGGGAGGAATAGCGACGCGCATATAGTCCCAAGCTGCGCGTGCAGTCCCCATTCCCCACGCCTCGGTCGCTTGTCGTTCGATTTCAGCTATGACATTAGCGCGAATACCCTTCAATCGGAACCCTTCGTTGTGATTAGGTGCAGGAAATCTGGGAATAAGACATCGGTGAATAAAGAAAATGACAGTGAAGATTACAATACTTGCCTTCCTCCAATATGATTGAGAACAAGTTTCTGAGCGCCGATGGTTTTAGCGAATGCCCCAGCCATCTCGGGAATGGAATGACCCCTCGCCAACGCCTTTTGTTTGACTGTATCATAGGACCTTTTAGCTTTTGGATCGATATCTTGGGAGATGTGCGCATCTGAAGCTTCGTGGATAAGGAGTGACGGCGAGGGATCTATACACAAAGGCACTATAGCGGAAGGATCGTTTGTGTCCCCTAGTATCACGAATCTTGCGAAAGGGCTTCGCTGCCTCCCTGAAAACGTATCCGATACATGGATCTAGGATATTGTATGTGAGGAAGTCATCAGCCGTAGAGAGATGCAAGCAAACCTCGATGCGATATGGGGCCTGCATCAACCGCCACTGGCCCAAATACACCTTTTTGCTCAGTTACATCTCTCCAGAAACCGTCTTCCGAGGATACGAGGTTTTTACCAGCGACCTCGTTCACATGCATGGTTTCTTGGTCGCAGGAGGTTACAGTGTCTGTAGGAGTGAGTAGCTCGTGCACGATATACTTGTCTGACATTCTAGTCAAGGTCATCTTGAGAATACTTCGAACAAAAGTTCGTATTCCTGCAGGCCCGTATATCTCTATAGTCGGTTCCTGGAACTGTTCAACGAAATTCAAGGGGATGTCATAAAGCAATGCTCACAGGCTTCCGAAGAGCTTCCAGCCGAGCCGCGTCTTCGCCTACTGGGACTGGAAAAAGGAGATTCCGTAGAATGGGTATTATCCTATAGAGTGTTAACACCAGAACAATATTGCAATCAAGCAATCTTCACCCCATAACATGGTCGGCTGTGTACCATTGTGAGATATTGAAAGAGGAGATACAACTGAGTAGAGTTCACCATGCATATGTGTTATGAAGATCTTTTTCACCTGCGGTAACCGTAGATTGGAACGATCTGGGCTGTGTGGCTGAAGCTGAAACTGGCGAGAGTCCCTTCTGCACAATCAACCACTGCGCGCACAAGCATCAGAGAGAATATCAAGAGCTAGATCATACGCGTACTCCACAGGGTTCCATCTCCCAGAAGGTCGGCAACAAGTGATGAACAGTTGCGCGATGTACTGGGACCTCCACCACTCGAGGTTCCGAGGAAAGTCACGGACATTATGCTGGTGATCATATCTCTGCCAATGTAAAATGCTGGACGAGAGGTAGAACTGTGGCGTACAGAACCAAATAATCTTGCGAGTTTGGTGACACCACGCGATGTCATATGTGGTTCAAAGCTAAAAACGGGCGCTAGAATTTCGCGCGCGTCACGGCATCCTCAATGACACATCTACTGAGGGCTTGAAGCTTTCATGATTACAGATTACAGTACTTCATCTACATATTTTCGTGGTAGTATCATGGCCCGTATCTTTGGCTCGCTCATCATGGTAGCGTGTCCGAGTGGTTAAGGAGTTGGATTTAAGCACTTCATGTGATGAATCCCAATAGAGAAATCTGCGCGAGTTCGAGCCTCGTCGCTACCATTCCGGGACTCAATCTCCAAGCATTTTTTAAGCTATGAAAACGGATGACAAGTAGTGCATATTTTTGATTGGTTTTAGGGTGATCGAAATTTCCATTGAGCGTTCTTGGTAGGTTAAAACTCTATAACAGGTTTGCTTTATTTTTCCCTTGATGGATCAAGGATTTTACATTTGTTGGATATCATTAAGCACTTCATTTTTGTCTGTACATTCAAGAGCAACACTGAAATACATATTTGCTATACATCCGTTTTCAACTTATTATACCCCAATCAAAAAATCTTCACAGAATGGGTCAGTAAGAGTTCAAGGGCATTGGGAGATGAGACCTACACCGGAGATGTTATCCTGGCCACCTGGAATCTGGCGGACTCTGAGACCAATAGATGAGATGGAGCAAGTTTGTTCAATAACGTGGATACGAACCGTCGAGTAGGTTTAAACTCTTCTTGTTGATCGTTTGAATCCCAAAAGTTTCCAAGTGAGCTAGCCCCGCCAGGGACGGTCCTCACTCGCCTGCTCGGGATGACATGGGAGGTAAAGTTGATTCCAGTATGTTCATCTTCCGCCTGAACTTCTTCCTGAGGTACAGAAGCAGTAGCCTCCTACATGACAACCAAGTGAGTGGATTAGGCGATCAGGAAGAAAGGAGGACAGACCTCGGTTTCTTGAGGAGGGGCCTGAGACAATGCATCTTGTTCGTTGCCGCCGAAGAGGTCGGTGTGAGCTCCGCCTGGGACTTGACGAACGCGACGAGAAGGTATAAAATCATTGGTGACTGACGTGGAGCTCGTAGATGCTACAAGGATAGTTAGTGAATATTACTGCAGAAGCATTAAAAGTACGGACGGGCGACGGATGGTGTAGATTCGGGTTCACGTTCAGATGTAGCAGAGAGCTTGCCAAATTTCGCGTATCCTATAAAGCATAAGTCTCCGACGCGGGTGGAAACAAAGATAGGACGTACTGGGGAGCTTTTGAATGTTTCCAAAGTTGGTGTCAACTGATAGAAATTAGGAGCATAGTCAGAGAGGAAGAGGAATGGAGTATACCGGTGGTGCCAGTGTACCTGATGAAACGATTTAAATTGTGCGAGACGCGTCGATTCGACAAACTTACTTGAGAAATTCGATCAAGGACCGCTTTGTGAACACGATGCTGGTATTATCCCAGTCAAGCATACCTTTGAAAAGTGAGCGATCGGTCTATATTGTAGAGTAGAGGCAGTACCCAAGCCAGCAGCCCATTCCCTCTCTTTAGACGCATCAATGACATTGGAAGGGGTGAATCTACACAGAATGAGCAAGAATCAAGCAGGAAATAAAAAGGACGGACGTGGCAGCCATATGATAGTGGATGTTGTTGAAAGAGATCCGTAGTCAAGGTAAACAAGGAACGCGCGCGCCAATTGCCTGCATGTTTTCTTCCTCCATTGTTACTCGGCGCCTTTCTGGATGCTTAAACCGTCGTTTCCTCGCTTCGCAAGCGTATACCAATCCTTCAGTGCCAAATGATCCTGCTACTTGCACTACTCCGCTGAATATCACAGAAGAGCAACGGGCAGCTCTAGATGCAGCTCTTCGAGTCGATCAAGCGGGAGAGGTCGCAGCAAACTGGATTTATTATGGGCAGCATTTCATTCTCGGAAAACAGCCTGTTACAGGACCTTTAATTCAAGTCTGTAGATTTATCTGTCCATTGGAATTACTCTCATATGTATTACTAGCAAATGTGGGATCAGGAAAAGAAACATCTCGCGGTAATGGACAAGATGCAGCTTCAACACCGTGTTCGTCCAACAATTCTTATGGAAGCTGCCAAGATTGGTGGGTTCGGACTCGGTGCTGTTACAGCATTGATGGGCAAAGAATCTGCAATGGCTTGCACTGAAGCGGTCGAAACGGTTATTGGAGAGCATTACGACGAGTAAGACACGTCTAGTTCTCGTGTAACAAGCAACTAATACTTCAATTTCAGCCAATTAAAGGAAATGGAGTCATTGCCATCTGACCATCCAAGTGTTCCGTTGCTGAGAGGAGTAGTAGAAGAATTCCGAGACGATGAATTGGAACATTTGGACACTGCAGTGATGAAATCATGCACAGAGAGCGCCGGCACACGCTTTGCTAAGTACAATTGTAGGTGGGGGATGCAAAGTAGCGATCGAATTGTGTAAAAGATTCTAGTTACAATATCATGCAGAGTTTGCGAGAGGCTGGTCTTTGAGTTTTGCGTTCCAAGACCATCGGAACTGGATGGGCGTCAGTATAAAGTAGGGGTCGACCACATTTTGGACGTACACTAGAGTAGCTCAGCGCAGTATAGACAGCGACTGGAAAACGACTACGCCAAGAATAGCAGCCCTGGCATTTGCAGGAGTCCATCGGAATCGAAGATAATGTTGTTCACGCTGCAAAGGGTCAGAATTGGATCCTGGATTATTTGGAAAGGACAGACCCATATATTTGCGTTTTCGACGGCAGGGTCTGTCTTTAAAGGACCTGTATTAACCGTTAGAGGATGAATCCAAGAGCAAAGATGAGCGTACCATGATGTCCAGCCATAATGGTAAATAGCAAGTCTAGATTTGGTCTTGTTTATCTCATCTCTTACTCTTGACTTTCATCATGAACTACAACGATAACCGCGAATGGGATAGAGGCAAAGGCGCAGAACCTTCTTCTTGGTATCCGAGCGATACCAGACAGAATTATCACCCAAGAGACGAGGACTATTACGCTCAGGGAAAGCGTAGAAAAATTAATGACGGAGTATGTTCTTGGAGTTCTACTTTGATCTGCTCTTATTCTGCTTCAGGGCTACGATACTGCTCAAACATACGAGGAGTACGCCTACGATGCCAACTACGCCCGTCAAGGTCAAGACCAGTCAGCTCGTGGTGGTCCCGCTGGCGGTTTTCCCAAGAAACGGCTACAGCCTTCGGAACCCAGCCCTCACGTCATATTCCTCGGTCTCGACCCAGACTTTACAGAGTCAGATGTATGCAGTTTCTTCTATTTATTTTCCGCTCGCTCACCCCTTTCCCAGCTGCAATCATACCTCAATTCTCATGGATGCAGCGTAGAGACTGTCACAATCATCCGAGAAAGATCAACAGGCAGTTGCCCATTCGTATATTCTGCTTTCCGCTTGCATTGACATTCTCTCCTTGCGTCTGGATTATCAAGGTGCTTCAAAAGGTTTTGGTTTTGCGCAATTCAGCAGCTCCGAACATGCGCGCGCATTCGTGGATCCGCTCTTTCCGTTCGTCCAAGTACCGCCTCCGGCCTCGCACGGTGCTACCGCAACTGCAGCATTCTACAAGAGCCTTGAAACCGGGCTCCCTCATAACGGACGGAGGGTCAAGATTGATTATTCACAAAGTGCGACACCCCATGAAAAGGGCCGTTCCAGGGGAAACACTAATGACGGTACTCGGGACATTGGCAATTCTCAAGCACCCGTCCTTCTTTTCAGAGGGCTTGACCCACTCTCCGGACCTCAGGCTATCCACCAAGCAATGAGGTCTTCGTCAGGTGTGGGCATAGAGGGTGCTAAGGGCATGAAGAGAATCATTCTCATCAAGGATAAAGTCACCATGGCCAGCTTTGGTTTTGCCTTTGTCGAGTTTATAGACACAGCCGTAGTGTCTATTTCGTTTTTCTGTCCGGCGCTCAGCTAACTTTTTGACTCCAGTCGGCTGCTGCAGTACTTGCAGCTACAATGTCGCCCCAAATACATCCAGCTGGTTTCCGGATATCTGATCGACCCGTTGCCGCCTCTTTTGCTCACCCTGACTCGTTCCAGCCGATCCAGGAAATAATGCTGCGTGACGAAGCCTGCCTTACCTCATCGCTTGCACTAGGAGGGGTTGAAGGAACATGGGTTCGATACTGGGACGAAACGTCTAATGTTGCAGTACTTGAATTCCAAGTTGCCATGCCACCACCACCGACAGTGCAGAGCGGAAAAGACAAGAAGGAGAAGAAAAAGAAGGGTAAGTCTAGAGCTCCCCTCAGGAGTAGCTCTAACAACACGGTCCAGAATCTGCTTTACGCCCTGTCGCTCCTCCTGCTCCTTCTACCCTCCCTGTGTCCGACAAGCCCGTCACGCTTAGTTTCAATAAAGGTCCTGCCAAGACTGGTATGTGGTTGTTGTCAGTGAAATAACGCCTTTTCTTATCATGCTTCAGCTTTAGGTCCAGCCGTCAAGCCCTTGGTTTTAGGATTCTCTTCTGACGATGTCGCTGAAGAAAATGGTAGTGCGGAGGATGACTCGGCCACTGGCAGCAAAGGTTGTAGGTTTCTTAGGAGCATCTTAACTTTTGCTGATATCTCCGTTCAGCCGCCAGCTCGAAGGGTGTCGCTCCCTTGATTGCGAGTAAGAAGGTATAGGTTCAACTGAGCATTTCTGCGCATAAACTTGTCTATTTTGATTCGCTTATATCTGCGTTGCTCGCAGACTATCAACAATATCAACAAGTGGAATCAAGTTCAAGAAGAACTCTCAAGTAATATCCCTGCAAAGGCAACTTCGTCTATTCTGGTGACATATCCTCCTTTGGCTCTTTTTGTGTTGCAATAATTAAACTGGGACTCCCCTGCGACAACAGGTAGCTCCCAAGGAAACACCAGCTGCATTACCTGCAGCGGCTGCAGAGGCGCCTACCTCAGCCACTCCGCCAGCAGACGAGTTTGAATTTTCAGACTTGGATGCATTCGCTTGTTTGTTATGCTCCCGGCAATTCAAGTCTGTTGATCAGCTCAAGCGGCATAACAAGGAATCAGATCTCCATAAGGCTCGCTATCTTCTTCGCAGTATCTTGCTCTTTGTCGTGACTTACGTTTCCTTTCCGCTATCGGCCTTGTTCCTGGTCTCGTCTTCAACAGAATAATTATAAAGACGCAAATCTTCGGGATGTAGCGCGACAAAAGGTATTGGCCCGCCAGCAGGCTAAAGCTAATGAACAGCCTAAGTACCGAGATCGAGCTTTGGAGAGG